CACTTAAATACAGTATAAAATAAATTAAATGGCAGTATACAACATAGCAAGGGACACTAAGAACCAAGAGGAGGCTGTTGTGCCCTTATCATGCCCTTATTTTAGAAAAAAATGAAGAGTGAGACTTTTCAATAGATTTAATATGTGCACAGGCTGAGTAGAATGTACGTGCCCAAACATTCCAAACCACACCACACACAAACTTCCCATCCCATCCCCAAACCCTGTCACAAATGCAGAAATTTTTTATGTGGAATCAATTGGTACAACACCACTGACTGGGGATGCTACTGCTGCTCTAAGCATCCCAGCCACTTAGGGTGCTTTTGTGGCTATTCCCATAAAATGCTGTTCAGTAGGCATGACTTCAAGCAGCAAGAGCCTTTTCAATTCCCTTGGGCTATCTTTAAACAAAATTATATGCCAAAGGTGCCTATAGGAAAAGGCTTGAGCAACACTTACACAGAATTATTCCAGAGAAGGGCAATGAGGCTGGTGAGAGGGCTGGAGAACAGGCCTGATGAGGAGTGGATGAGGGGACTGGGGCTGTTTAATCTGGAGAGAAGGAGACTGAGAGGTGACATTATTTTCTACAACTACCTAAAAGGAGGTTGTAGTGAGGCTGGTGTTGGTCTCTTCTCCCAAATTACTGATGATACAATGAGAGGAAATGGCCTCAGGTTGCACCAGGGAAGGTTTCAGTTGCATATTAGGAAGAATTTCTTCACTGAGAGAGTGGTTAGACACTGGAATGGGCTGCCCAGAGGAGTGGTGGAGTCATCATCCCTGGAGGTGTTCAAACAATGAGCAGATGTAGCACTGGAGGGTATGGTCTAGTGATTAGGGAAATGTTGGGAGGAAGCTTGGATATGGCGATTCTGTGATTCTAAGTTGTTTTAGTCAGAACAAATTCCTAATAGAATTTCTTTTAATCAGGTCAGATCTGGTTTACTGTTTTGTTGGAAGTAAATTTAATCATGAAAACTTTATGTGCAAATCCTTGGAGAGTACAACATGAATAGATTCTACCTTCTTGGTACTGAAAAAACCTAGCTACAGAAAACCTCTGTGAAAAGAAGACATCACCACTTGTAATTTTCTTCCTGTGTCTCCACTTCTTTTCTTTTCAAAAAAAATAAACCAAATCCACCATTAATTTACCTGGCTTCTGTTGAAATCTTTAGTAGCTGCAGTAACAGCACGTCTGTTTTCTTCTTCTTTTCGTTGTTGCTCCATAGCCTTTTGGTCAAGTTCAATCCTGCTCTGGTCATAACCACTTGTGATTTTGCACATCTTGATTTTCTTCCTTTGTCTCCACTTCTTTTCAAAAAAATAAACCAAATCCACCATTAATTTACCTGGCTTCTGTTGAAATCTTTAGTAGCTGCAGTAACAGCACGTCTGTTTTCTTCTTCTTTTCGTTGTTGCTCCATAGCCTTTTGGTCAAGTTCAATCCTGCTCTGGTCATAGAGATAATCTAAATCAGATTAAACCAAAATTCAGTCAATATCCACGGGCATGGTGTGCCATATGAAAAAACAAGACAGGGAGAAAGAGACAGACAGAGGAGCTACAGATATAGTAAGCTGAATTACTTAACTGTTTCCAAGTCTTACCACAGCAGCTTCCCATCTTGGAATTTCAAGTGAGTCATTAAATCAGTTTATTATGTGACACACCTTGTCTTAACAGTTAGACAAAATTGTAATTAAAAAGTATGTTAAGTACTGCAGAAAAAAGTGTTTCATGTCTAGCTAGAAGAAAAAAAATCAGTATCCTTTTGTCTGTTCTAGAAGAGTAAAGATGGGCAACCTGCTCTGTTGAATAAACAAAGAGCAGCATGGAGAACAAATGATTTTTCAGAGTACTCTGGTACTCCATTTGAGGTGTAAAAGAAAAATGAAACCTAGGTAATATTACAATCATCACATGTGGCTAAATACAGATTTAAGTGAAATATTAAACACAGAGCTTGCAAAAAGCTGCTTGTAAATCCTGCTGCAGTATTTCTCACAGCTATTGAATTTACTACAATATTGGTATGACAAACTGACACAACAGGCTATGCTATAGTTTTGTCAGCTATCAGCATTTCAGAAACAGCAGATGAACATCTGATTATTTTCTCTCGTTACCTGCATATTTTTGCTCAGCTAATGCATTCTTCCAGTCTCTCTGTTGCTGAAGAGACCATTCTCTTAACTGCTCCTTTTGAAATTTCACCCTCTGGTCATAGTTCAGGTCTTCCCCCATGAACTTCTGCAGGCCAGACAGGGTGCATCGAGGGTCATTGTCTGAGAGTCGAGCAGGTCTGTCCTTCTTTAGGGCCTGGGGGTCATACAGGTCAAACTCACGTCTCGTTTCTGGCTTCTGAAAATTCTTCTGAAATTCACAGATGGCCTTATTTATGTTTCTGATCTCATACTTCTGTCGTTCTTCTAGCATGCACACGAGCTGGTCATTTTGCTTCATTTCATTAGCTGGGGAAAAATGAGCACAATGAAAACACAACCCTTAGAAGTGCAAGTGTCATGGAAGTGCAGGTTAAGACAGGGAGTCAAATTCTGAAAAGGAATGAACAGAATGTAAGTTTTCCAAATTTTATACCTCATGAGAGAGTATTTGATCTATGAGTCTAGCAAACACTCTAATGTTAGTCCTAAGTAAATAGGACTAACATTAGAGTGTTTGCTAGACCCATAGATTGACTTATGTATCTCTTATTACAATGAAATATATGTATATGAAACAGACAATAATAAATAATTCTAGAACTACAAGGTTTCATTTGATTAAAACTTGCAGGAACACATGAAAATACTGCATACTAATTCTTCCCATTAATGTAAGTCTTCCAAATTTTATACCTCATGACAGAGTATTTGATCTATACTCTCTCATTTAATTAGTCCTAATTTAATTAGGACTAACATTAGAGTGTTTGCTAGACCCATAGATTTACTTATGTATCTCTTATTACAATGAAATATATGTATATGAAACAGACAATAATAAATAATTCTAGAACTACAAGGTTTCATTTGATTAAAACTTGCAGGAACACATGAAAATACTGCATACTAATTCTTCCCATTTACACTTAGTTTACTATTGTTGCTGAAATACATTAAGTTGCTTACTAAGAAACAAAAATTTGGCTCCAAATGAAAAGAATACAGGTAGTCACTTCACAGTTCCCATGATTCTTCTAACCACAGCACTAAAACTGGCTGGCACTAACAGGTTTTGGAGAGTTTAATAGAATTGATTTAAAGAAAAACATAAAAAAAATCATCCCAAAACTAGCCATTTTAGCCATTCAAGTACAATTCACAAGAAAAGATCACTTCCTCTGTTGCCAAACTACACATTGCTTCTGGCAGTTTCCTGGGAGTCAGAGTCTGGCAGGTATTCTGCCAGGAAAATCACAAGAGAGGCACAGCATGGAAGTTGGCAGCTCCATCCTAGCTCTTTTTGAAACCCACAGAGAGCTCAGTCTGTGGGACCTTTGCACAGGGTACCACAGGAAAGCATTCCAACCACAGAGGGCCACAAAGGGCTTTGAGGTCAGGGGACATGGATTAAATACTTGTGTGGCTACACGTTCTGCCTCAGCCATGGCTCCTACTTACAGCTCTGTTGTGCATGACTTGTGCTTCTGCAATAATAACCTACAGAGGATTCTCTAGAATCTATATATTCTATTGGAGAATGGCCAGACAGAACATGGGCTTATTCTACAAGAAAGCAACCAAATAAATTTGCCACTACTATCCTACAAAAAACAGTATTAAGTGTTGGAAGTTTTTTAAAAATTCTCCTTTATCTTCAGGTCTCTAAACAATGCTATTTGTCAACATTTATTAAAAGAAAACACTGAAAATTCCAGCCTATTAGGAAATGTATACCAGTTTCATCATGTCAATACCAATCTTAAGATAGTGAGGAAAACACCTATTGTACCAATGCAAAAGTATGAGAATAAATAAGACTACACATTATAGTATTCAGTTTGTAAACCTAAATTCAGAAAAAAAGCCTATTGTGCTTATATATTTTGACTGATGGATTTATATATAGCTATATAGCAAAAAATTCAAGGAGATAAGCTCCATTTGGAAATAAATATGGCAGTTTGAAACACATGAAGGGAAAAAGAAAGGAGGAAACATGTTAAATTACATTTATCTCTTCACAGAAATATCATAGTATCTATGAATATACCAAGTTCTTCATGTCGTGCTTTTTCAGCTGCTTCTTGAATTTTCCTGTCCCTGACCTGGGAGTCTAATGCATCTTTATCAATCTAGGAAAATGGAAAAAAAAAGAAGATACTATGTTTGAACAATTAAAAGCAGGCATTGTCAAGCTATATTGTACAAGGTAAGATGTAAAACCACTATCAGAGTGGACACACATCAGTATTTAGTGTAGGTAACATAAAAAGAAGTGCAGAAACAGCAATTTTCTTGCTTGGTTGCTTTGTTTTAAAAATAAGTAGATTCTTGCACCAAATCAGAACCATATTTACATGATATAGAGCTATAAATGTAAATATTTTCAGCTGCATTACAGAGAGTACATTTTCCCCATTATAGCTGCCTTTTTTTTGATATTTCTTGTTGTTCTGCTTTCATTTCTAAAGCAGGTAAATATTTTGACAGTCACGATGACAGGGAGTTTTTTATCAAGTCTCAACTATAAGTTCACTAAAAGGACACTGAAGAAATAATGGGGAATGGAAAAAAAGAATTCTAGCCTTATCAGAGAGGGTGGGATTCATGTCATTGCCAAAATGCAATACTGGGTGCCATTTGAGATACTCACTGGCCCCTACAAGGAGCTGACAGACACAGTACAGAATGTTCACATCCCTGGAGAGTGGGACCTGAGCAAAGCATCATACCCTGTGGCACATCAAATGGTAGCAGCCACCTCCATTTTAGGCTAAAGATGCAGGTTCCAAATTTGTTGACAGAAGGTAGTGAATTAATAGGCAGAAACTTTGATTTTCTTGCCTTTTTTTTACTGGTCAACTCACTTAATGTCTTGTCAGAAAACAATGACAACTCTTCAAGAATCTGGTCAACTTTTTTGATAGTCTTTGCATAAAGATTATTCAACTCAAGACAGAAAGACCTAAACAGGATCCTTATGGTATGGAAAATCCCTTTGGTTGGTTTGAGTCAGCTGTTCTGGTTATGATCCCTCCCAAGGCTCCTGCCCCCCTACCCCATTGTGAGGGGAATTTTGGAAAGAGCCTTGGAAAGTGCACTGCTCAGTGGGAGTCACAACA